CTAAATAAAGTGTACACTTAAACTGATATTCAGGGGTTTTTAGGTGGCTAAAAAGTTGTTGTTTTTTTTTGCTGCCACCAACACAGCAGTACATTGCTTAGCTTCCGTGGCATTACTCCTGCCTATTACTCTAAACTAGGAGCTTGCAGACTGCCATGTTCTGTAGGTAATACCCTGACTGTAGCTAAGTATCTCATACAACCCCACTTCAAAAAATCCAAACTGTCCCTTTAACATCTGTAGTCAGCAGGCAAGAGAAGAGATGCTTCAGATAAAAGAGAACTGAGATGGATGATCCCGCATCATGACAGGTGTCAGTACAGGAAGAGTTTTCCTTTAGTCTCCCTCTGTGTTGTTTTTGTTCTCCTGTCAGTGCTCTCTATGTAGCCTTCTTGCGAGCATATTGCAGTGACATAATACACCTGAAACAATGGAGAGAACTTATTTGTTTCTAACAAATTAGGTTCTGTCTGGCAGCTCAATCTTGAAAGCAAAGCTTGACAAGTAAGGGAATTGCTTGCAAATTGTGTTTTGAAGCCAGCTTCTTGAAAGACCAGTTGGTGTGAAGTGTAAATGGGTACACAAGGCTTGAGTAATCCTCCCAATCTGACTTTGTCTTGTCTCGTAGGGTTTAACTGTGTTGTTGCAACAGTTGTGGTCTTCTTAAATCTGCCAACAACAGTAAAAATGTTGAAATCCTGTGGAAAATATTGGCAGTGTCTGTGACTTTAATGCAGTTGTTTAACTGCAGGCAGCAATTCAGTGTTCTCTCCAGATTCCAGACAACTTCCTGTTTAACATTTCTCCTTCCTGTTAGATCCTTTGCTGCTGTCAGTCGCGGCAGCTAAATCATTATCCCAGTAAACAGCACAAGGAGTCTTTGTTGTTCTTGTTTTTGCATTCTCTGTCTGCCTGATTCTTAGATAAACGCGTCTCTGTTCAAAGCCGCTGTAACCCGACAAACAATTTGCGGAGCATTCAAACAGGAAGCCATTATCCTGTTACGAAAGCTTTTCCCTCTTATCTCAAGGCTCACATCTGTGGTGCACTACCCACTCCGCCTCTCCACCACTCCGCCCATCCAGTCCTCCTCCACCAGGTCGGTTCCAGCGGTCCACAGGATGTGCCCTATCTGTCTGTTTCCCCCCATGGGACTGACACTCTACCGAGAATGGCAGACAAACACACCCAGGAGCAAACCAAAGGAATTTGTCTGTTTGTGCTACTGTAAAGATGGCACTCTATTTATACACCCATGATATGTATACGCCTCTACATGAGGATGAACTCCAGATGGATGTGTGCTCATAAAATTAGTCATGAAAGGACTGTTAATGCAGAAAAATTGGATTTTTCACTGAAAAGAAAGATGAGTGCAAACAGAAACAGGAAGGGAAAGCATTTGTTTCCTTTGAGGGTGAAGTGGATGACGAGACCACCTGACTCATCCAGTTTTTATAGCTGTCCACCGAGTTCTTGTTTTGTTTTCTTCTCTACAACCTTGGCTGTCAATAACAACAAATGTTGACACTAAAATGTTTTGTAGTGAAGCGTATGCAGTTACAAACTAGACACAAAGATGTGGTGAGAATGACACATCCGTTTTTTTAAATTGTTCTGCAACAAGTGAGTCACAGTGACAGGAGGAAGAGGAAGAGGATGAGCAGTAGTAAGAACAGTGCCTACGCTTAGGTGCAAGTGGGCTGAAGCCCCAGAAGTACAGCTCAGGGCCCTCCCATTCAAAATCATGACTGCTTGTCTAACCTTGTCTACAGCAATAACTCAAGCTCCCAAAGTAATTTCACTGGTATTAGTAGTAGTCATGCTAGCACTAGTAGTAGTAGTAGCAGTATGATATTAACACTAATGATGAAAGAAGTAGTTGTAATAATGGAGGTAGAGGTAGTGTTAACAGTTGGACTTGCCATAGTTGTTAAAGTGATATTAGTAATCATGGAAGTGGTAAAAGTGGTAGCAGTAGGGTTGTAAATTGAAGAGTAGGAGTACTAGAGGAAGTAATGGTAATAAAGCTAGTAGTGTTAGCCCTTGGACTTGCAGAAGTAGAGAAAGTGATACTAGTACTTATGGTAGTAATTCCAGAAGTACGTAGTAGGCCTAGTGTTGATGTACGAATGACTGATGTAGGTAGTAGAGGAAGCCATGGAAGTAGCAGTGGCCTAGTAGTGTTAGTAGTTTGACTCGTACTAGTAGTAGAAGAAATGGTTATATTTGTACAAATAGTTGCAGTACTAGAGGAAGTAATGGTAGTAGAGGTAGTAGTGTTAGCATTTTGACTTGTAATAGTTGTAGCAAGCATATTTGTTGTTGTAGTAGGGAACTGCCCATTGGTTCGACAGCCCATTGGTTCGACATCCCATTGTTCCGACCATATTAAACTC